TATATACGCACATACGTGCAACATTATTATACAAATGTACTAAAGACAATTGGCTAGGATTTAGTATTGTTTAATATAATGCAATATACAGATAATTCCTCAATAAAAATTATTGTTATTATATCTTTGCCAGATATCAATCTAGGCTTTTTGTTCAGATATTTGGATTATTATTTAATTTATGTTTTTATCGGTGTTCATCTTGCTGTGCTAATGCGGTATGGCAACTTGTACCGATGCATATATGTGCCTGGTCCTACGTTGTAGCTGACTGCCTGACTGACTATCTGTTTCAATTTCTAACAGGTGGATGACTTTTAGGTTTGTCAGCGAAATAAGTTGAAATTTTATCGAAAGTTCTCTTCCACATATAATGAAGTCATCATAATCCCATGGACTGATTAGTTATTTTAAATGTAAAATATTAATCATTTGGGAAAAATTCAAAAATTACCTCTTTTAAAACTGAATAGGATAGAAATATTTATTTTTCTTAAGGATGTTGTAACAATGTAAAGAGACTGGAAAGTACCAAACTACTTGGATTTTATTTTACATTTTCCAAATCAATTATAACGTACCATAACAAATTTATGGATTGCGATGACGTGTTATCTTGCTAAAAATCAACCTAGAAAATGTTTATTATAAACATGTACAATGACAGGCACAAACAAAAATGAACTACTTTTTTTATAATTGATTTCTGTCACAAATTAAAGATGGTCATTTAGTTTCGTCCTTGAAAGTCACAGAAGTATAATAAATCACTAAAGAATTCTTATTTATTTATAACTTAAAACTTTTGTTAAATGTATGGTTACTTTTTATTCAAAAATATCTTTTTTTGAGCTAACTATTTACTAAAAGTTAACAATTAGATACGTTGCTATCACATTTGTAATTGATTTAAATTCCCGTGTCATTTTATCAATCATTTCTATTTGCCGCTCACCATTAGAAGAATAATCTTTTAAGTATTATAAAAAAGTTATGCTTCATTTGATCGAAAGATGGTTCAAAGAAGACGTCTGACCGATTATAAAAAGTCGATGACATATTGGTATGTGAAACATTTGACTAGATATTTAGTTATTTCTGTATCAGTACACTGAGTGTTATCTAATTTTATTACTGATGGAAGATCACGATAAATGTTCGAGATTTTAATGTTATCTACCCATGCATATGTTCATGTTTTAATCATGGTATACAAGGCTCGCACATTAAGCAAGGATGAACTAATGAATAATTGAAAGTTTGCATAAATGCACAAGAGGTTAGCGTTCATTTTCAGCAAAACAAAAAGTAGTCTGATTGATTGGGAATTCTGTTTGTCAGAATCACACAGAACTATACAGTGTTTAAAAATATTACAGCTGAAGCCATTAAATGTCAACCCACTGGCTTGAAATAAATTAGCAAGACAATTGACTGGAGTATCATCTTTGGAGACTGCACAAATGTCTTGTACTAATACGGAACAGCTATCTATGGTTCTTTACTACAGAAACTGCTGTATCCTTCAGGTCTTGTTTTGTTCATTCATCCAGTCAGTTAAACAAACAGTCTTTCCGTCAGTACTTCTTTATTTTAGTTATTATCGTTGGTAAAGATTATCATTTGATTCTTACATCATCAATTGTATACAACTAGTTCGTCATAAATGTTTTTACTTATGTCAAAATATCTTCGTTAATATTTCTAGGCTTGAAAAAGGAATATTTTGAAAACTTAGTTTAAATTTATCATATGCTCTTGTTCTAAATATAAATCAAATTCGTCTGGTTGTTATTTTAAGACTGATTTGTGATATTTTCCAAAAGTTAATTTAATCCTATTTGCGTTGGCCTTGCCGAATAGGTTACTTAGATTATTGATCAGTTAGAAGACAGTAAGCTATATATCATAACATTTACAGTAAAAATGATTAATGTCGTCAAAATTATAACAAAGATGCATTGGTATTTCACATTTAAGGATTTGAATCATCCTGTTATTAATGTTATGGATAGTAATCGATCAGTCTCCTCTGGCATATGTCGACCTTTAGAGGATTTCCTTGATACTGACATAAAGTTACAGGTATTTGTAGGCAAAGTTTTTTTTATTGAAACGTAGTGGAACCCCGGACCCGTGTTTTTCCTGTTTGGGATCGGCCAGTTGGATGTAACAGAATTCCATTGTTGAGTCCCACTATATACATCAACACCAAAGTGGAAGAGAGTTTAACCAACGAGCCCTAGGTAGGACGAAACATGGGTCCTAAATTCCACTGCTCATCGATATCACAATTTTCTGAGAGAAATATTTTTCGTTCATACGTCTGTGTTCTAATATGATGAGAATTCTTCAGCGACCCATAATAAGAACGGTTAGTAAAGATAGATTGCCTGAATTCGCCACATCCATGTGTATTTACTGATTCAACCGTTCCTGTGAAGCTAGTTATATAGGGCGTACAACTTGGCAAGTCCATCATTGCATAACAGAACACCATCCGTCTTGGTTGAGCAAATGACAGGTAAGAGTGATTAAGAGTTCGATTCTCAATCAATTGATGGACACAGGTCATCAAGTTGAATCGAATAAAGCTTTTAAAGTTATCCACCATATTCCATCAAATTTGTGGCATGGTTTACGAATTTGTCTTTTGCATATTCTTTAAATCATTGAAACCCATGTTCACAAACCAAACCTTTTCATCCAAAAGAAGTTTGCATAATCACTCTCGCTACCTTGGTCATCAGTATATTGGTGAGTGTGTAACATAACTTTGGTAAACCATTTTGTATTTATTCCACTTTTGTATTTTACTTATTCTCAATATTCGTTTCTTGATTCTCACTTAACTACTACTGACCATTCATCAAAATATTTTGTTAGTTCCTTTTTTTGAAATAATTACTTTGATTATTATAATCTTCTTTGCTCCAAATACTTAGTGTTAGTTTATAATCGATATGTCATTATATATTCATTACGCAACGTATCTACTCGATGAATATTATTTCATTATTGTAAATCATATATATATATATATATATATATATATATATATATATATATATATCGCCATGATGAAAAACTAACTGGAAAGAAATTTTTCCGCTCGATTCGTTCCTTCTTTATTTACCAAATGTCAAAATGGGAATTTTCACGATAATGACGAGTTAATTATTAAATTTCAGCTCAGGGTGGCATGGACTTTATGTTTTTTGTTAAATTATTTGTTATATTTGAATCACGATATCATAATAAAACTGAACGTTTTATGCTGGTGATTGCCTTCATTGTTACTTACTGAACGCAGTTATATTCAAGCCAGATAGAATAATACGTGCCGAAACTCAGTGTAAGCATCTTTTACATTTTCATTATAACTGATAATATTGAACCATAACAGGAATTATTGGTTAGTTGTCTAAATAAATTTGTATAATAATTCCGACATGAATTATACGTCAGTAACATTCTGTGATCACTGTAAGAGGAAGTGAACAGAATTACTATTTTCCAGGCCTAACACAATATCAATATAGCGTTATGGAGACTTAAATTTTTACTGAGATCATGAACCGATCAATGTTAGACCCCATTAACATCAACACCGTTGGATTTCGATTCAATGATCTAGAGGTTGAGCATTAGCGCGAAACCGAAGGTCCAATGTAAAACCGTTGATGCGCAATGCTGGGAAATACCATAGCGGGACGAAACAGCAGTTCAGTACTTCCAGGTTGTCATTACGAGTCTAACATTGATCGTTTCATGATTTCAATGAACACAATATCATGACGATAGGAATCATATTGGCAACAGACTTCCATGACTCTATATAAGTTTAACAGAGACATGCATACAGTGACAATGTATCAAGCTTTGACAACTTAAGATAAGTACTTATAAATTCTTAGATAACAAACATTTTTATTCAAATTAATCTATTTGTACCAAAAATTTTAATAATGATGTCTAACTCAATATAATTAACCAATTATTAAAAATTCGCTTGTGTTTTTTAAAGACATATGTGTGAACATACAAAATATGATTTGATTAACAGAAATCATTTTCTTTAAAGAAAACAGTTAAGTGACACAATTGACAAAATTAATCGGTAAAGGTTGGCAATTGTATTTAAAGTATGCTTATAAAGAAAATAAGGTATATTATAGAAGTGTTTTTACTTTTCGACCCCTAAAGTATAAGGTAGTTGGTAACAATCAAATAATTTTTAACTATTCGATGATAGAAAACTATGATCAATAAAACATTTTATTCAGATCTTTTAATTCTATGTACAATTTCATTTAGATTTGAAGATAAGTAATAAGATTTTATCGGTCAATAATGCTTGTTGTACAGAAGCGAATGAGAACAATTTAAATGATAAATAAAACTTATGTATATCAGTTAGTAGGACTGCTAATTTCAGGGAAAGTTATAGATAGTTTTACATTTTGTACAACTTTTCTAACATTCTGTCTTATTGTGTTGTATATGTTTTTTGTCTAAATTTAAACCCAAATAAATCCTCAAATGCTTATAGAACTTTAATAATTTTGTACAGAAATAATGGATATGTAAATCATTGTTTTCACACTTTATAATGATTTATTGTTTTCTTTGTTTTGTTATTTTTTTTCGTTATTTTCTTCTTGTGACGGAGATTAAGGAGTCTTTTGCTTTTTCAAATAAAAATGATAACACCTTCTAGTCAAATAGTTTATAATTTTATCTAGTCATTTTAACGTGCATCCTATCATTTATGCATATGTCTAGCAAAATTACTTTAACCAGTTAAAATTCAATAAATTAGATCAATAATGGTTTTTCCCCTTAGAAGTGTATAGATGAATGTGGCTGTGAAAAATTTGGGAGAGCTATTTTGTTATAGATAGACAGATAGAAGAGAGACACAGACTTGAATAATAATAATAAATTTAGCGTTTTTTTCATCTTTTTATAAACATATATATATATATATATATATATATAAATTTGATTTGAATTTAAAAGAATATTGAAATTACATTTCATAGAAATGAACCAACATCTTTGTTTTACCTTATCAATTCTTTTTATTATCATTATTGTTTATTATGGATTATTGCAAGTTGTAGCAGTTGCTCCAAAAGGTCATCCTAAAGGTAAAAACATTAGAAATAACTTTACAATATTTTCGAAAATATATCATTATTATTATTAGTAATATGTAGTATGGGTGTTTTACTTTTTTTAATTATTTTGCTCATTATTACTATCTTTTCATTAAAATGATAAGATTCGTTATAGGAAGTATTTTTTATATTTGAATCACTTTTTTTTCAAAAGTTTAAAAGTCAGTTAGTTGTTTTATGAATTTTCAAGAAACTTGTAAGTACTTCTGAAAAAAGATGAAATTTTGTCCATGAATAAAGATTTTTTAAAAATATAAGTATCAATAATTTGATTAGAATAACATAAATGATAATATGTTCCATCTGCTTTTCATTAATTGTTAACATGGTATGATTTTTCAATATCAAAAGTTCAGTAGAATGAACGTATATATTCCTATCAACACTTATTTATATTATGTAATCTTTTGTTTCTGGCCGTTTGAACTATTGTTACAATCAATGTTGTGGAATGTTCTTTCTCATGAGATATATATTTACAATATTCAATCTGTAAAATTTGTTTACATCCTTGATATACTATATGAATATGTCATCAGTATAACTTCCAATCAAACTTTTTCATGTAAGTAATTTAAACCCATTATGTAATAATGATTTTAAATATCGCAGGTTGTAAGCAGCTGACGAGAACCAACGAAATAAAATGAATTTATGCTATTCTGATACAATCTTTTTTCTTGCTCTTTACAAAAATGAAATTGATCAGAAGTTAGAGTGAATATGTATCACAGAAATGTTATAAACGTCTAACGAAAGCTTAAAATATTGAATTAAATGCTGTATTGAGAATATGAAGCTTATTAGAACTATTTTGATAGGTTAGTGCAATGCATTTCGAACAATCTGATCGTGCATATACTTAGTATATATATATATATATATATATATATAAGATGGACCATGCAAAACTGGAGGTAAAAGAAAACATATATATTACCGACATTTTAGAACATGGTATGTTTCATAAGGTCTTACGTTGTCACCCTTATTTGCTTTTTATTTGTCTACTTAACCTTTTATTTTTTTATATGTAATTGTTTTAACAAGTAAACGTGTGATGAGATTGTTCGAAATGTATTGCACTAATATATCACATAGTCCTAATTTTCTTTGTCTTTTAACTAAGTTTTCCAAAGTTATCAGATAGATCAATTGTTTTGAATGTTACTGTTTAACATCATATTTAATAAAATGTCCTTAAATATCTATCAGAACTGAAGCAAAAACTTATGAGGCTTGACTTAAATAATTAAGTAAATAAGTTAATGAATAGTAAGACTGAAGATGCATGATGAATGCAGTTCTTAGTTAGTTAAGAGATTAAAGATCTTTAAACAGTATGCAATCCAATATTAGTTTTTTTTTATTTAGATAATCGCCTTCCTCTTAAAAGCCAAATCAAATTATGAGCATAACCTTATAGTTAAAGTGTAAGAGTAATTTTAATATTTTGAAAAAATATATTAATTACTGCTCTATTGTACTGCAACACATACCACTAGAAATATTACAGAATACTCTATCTTTACACCGTATACAGTCGTCTTTGTTTTGTTTTAATGTTAAAATATAGCTGAAGATGATTAGCACGTTGATTGATTATATTTAACATATTAGAATAGCTGAAATTGTTCAGTTTTACAAAAACAACTCAAGTTATAACTTACGTGAATAACTTATTTGAACAAATGCTTTGATGGGACTATTTACAGAAAATTAAAAATACTTTTTTGCTGTCTCGTTGTCTAAAAAAGTGGAAAATATACACTTCGTAAGCCTGTTATCGGTTTAAACAGAACAAATAAATTGGAGAAGTATATTAAATGGTAAAGGGTCAAAAATATCAGTTGACAATGAAGTATTTAATTGAAAGCTTTACAGTATTGAGGTTCAATTTAAGATTTAAACAAACAATACAAAACGAATTAATTCATATTTAGTTATATTAGTGAAAAACTAGATTGGAATTAGTTAACTTTAATTTTATTGATAAAGGATGATTATTTTGACTCTTAAACTCATATATCACACATTTTTTATTATCAATCTTCAAATTCATCTTTTATCTTGATCTTCAAAGCAGAAATATTAGTTACACTCAAAATTGTACAAAGAATTAGTCACAAAATAAAAGGTTGCTTCACTATTCACTTCATTAGTTATTACTTATTAAAAATTAGCCCAGTAGTGACTTCATATTTCTTCCTTATTAATCTGTGGTGGAATGAATATTATCGATGAAAAACAGAAGTTCCAACATCACTGATATTATCAGGTTCTTAGAGTTACATTTCAGTCCCTATGCCATCACTTAGAGATTTTAGCATAACTATTAGAATCAGTTTGTTAGTTTGGTACAAAATAGAGACTAGTTAGAAAAAATATTTTTTACGTCATACATGAGCTATAAATAGTAAACTCACAGTAAATATTTACACTGAATAGTCTAGTGCTAAGATATTCAGTCATAGTTAATAAATGCTAACAAAATGATTGAGAGAGGGGAGTTAACAAGAACGCATACAAACGCCAATATCTGGAATATATCAAAGCCATTTAGTTTAGGAAAATCAGGAACAAATCTCATCTGTTTCTATTCAACTAGCTAACTATACAACCAGGGTGGAAGGTGATTTCTTACATTATTTCAGAGCTAGTGTTGTATATATTTACATACACAAACACATATATATGTGTACATTTGTATGGTCGTGTGTTAATTACTTTTGCATAATTTAAGATTATTTAAAAAAAATGCTCAGCTGAGTTTATCACAGTCCACTCATATAAATACAGTAAATACTAATCATATTAGAATCAGATAAAAATTTATCCAATAAATTCTTAAATCCCTATTGTAGATTACATTTGTTTTTCTGTTAAATTAGAAAGTTCTAAAAAAGGGTATTGTAGATGATCTAGTTTCTTTTCTTTTCTCACTCTCTCTCTAAATGAATTTAAACTGAGTTAGAAATTTTCTAAGACTATACCTCATAAACGTTGTAAGTTTTTCAACTTGCATATTTTATTCGAATATAAACATTATTTTCAGTCTTTATATCCATGAATCCATGAAGCTACTTCATAATGTATCTCATTCTTAGTGAATAGTCAGAGAATGTCAGAAAGTGTAGTGAAGTACAACCTGTTATTAATTATATTGTGGGGCAAACTTTCCTTATGAAATCTAGCATTTAATCCTTATGCAATATGTGACTACCATGTATTTGATGGTTCATTATAGTCTATTATATTATAAATGAATAAAACCACTAGCATGTCTAGAAATTACTTTCTGAGCACAAACAATATATTTGCTGTGCAAAATACGTTAAATTTCTATCTCCAGTTTTCATGAACAATCTGTGACTAATCTATTGAAACAGATGTCTTGTTTTTGTAATATCTCGAGTGAAGTCTTCATATATTATTTTGCTTTATACATGCATGCATCATATATAAACTGACTGTCATTTCTTTCAATTTCCATGATGGAATACTAGTTGATTACAGTCTTCAGCAACTTAACCATAAGGTATCATCTAATTGATTTCTAAAAATATAGTCTCCACTTTTTTAAAAAGTTAATATCCAGTAGATGATGTCCTCAATACTATTAATATCCTCTCGTGATTTTATTGAACAGTACTGAAGACTAAATCAGTGGAGAAAGATCTTATAAGAATGTTATTAAATCGATATGAACAATTTGGTATAATTGGACGACCAGTAAATGACAGTAAAATTAAAGTTGATGTTCGTTATGGATTACAACTTTTCCAAATTTTGGATTTAGATGAGAATAAACAAATTCTGCGAACTAACTGTTGGTGTATGCATGTAAGCACACTTCAAAATTGTCAATATATACTACAATAGATGAAGTTATTTTTCCTTATTGTAAGGTGATATATATATATATATATATATATATATATATATATGAGTTGTTTATAAGTAAATACTATTCGTATTTACTTACTGACCATAAAAGAAGTAGCAGTATTTAACATCTTTGCTGACAAAGTCAATCACCAAAAAACTTATTTTGATCAATGTCTTCAATAGCTATCGCTCCAAGCTGTCATTATAAAACATGACGGAAGGTCAACGAAAGGATGTATTCACTAATACTGTTTTTCGGTACCGTAATGTGAATTTCAGATTAATTCATATCAGTAAGATCTGCCACTAGAACTATTAACTTGACACAAAATATGAAACAAACCTTAATATGGTTGTTAAACCACCCGAAAATATAGAATTTAGGCTATATACATGTAGGGAATTGTACCTGTGTAATGTATCACAATGTTGACAAATTAAACTGAACTTCCTTTGTAAAGTTACCAAAATCTCGTCAGAAGCTATATTATAGCAAAAGGCTGACAGTCAAATGGTGTGAAATGTACATATATGTTAAGCTTCCGTACTAGCTTCATATTATTGTTGATCACCATGACTGATGGACGAGTTATATCAGGGCAGGTAAAAATATTCAGGGATATGTATTTATGATTTCCATTTGAAAGTAAAGAGCAAGACGCTAGTTGTTTTATATTACATTAAGTAAACATATTTGGTATGAAGTATCTGGATATTCTTACTAGAAGATCATACAGATGTTGTAAGTGACCTCATCAGAACAGCTCCTACTTACAGATATTTTGAGTACAATGACTAGAGTAATTCATGGATCACAGCTGTGAACGAGAAGATAACTAAAACAATTTTAAAATTTTAAGATTGACAACAATCTAGTTACAACTTTAAAAATTCTCCAGTAGCTGAGTTTAGGGCATCTGAATAGTTTTATCGATCCGAATGATCAAAAACTGCTCAAAATCCAGACCTCATGTATTATGACACATTACTTATTCTGGTGGATATTATATTTGCGAACAGAAATGTACTTTAGAAAAGTCACACATGGATCTAAGTTAGATAGCCACTGAAAACACTAAGCACTAGATGGCCGTTTTGTTCTAGTATGGGACGACTTAAGAGTGAGCATTCATGACCCTGCTGCCGGGAATTAAAATTTGTGATTGACAGAGCATACAATTAAGTCAAAGTAACTTTTCTGTTATTCTGTAATTATAGATACATTCTGATAAATGTTAAATTGTTTTGATGAGAAATGTCAAAAGTTAATCAAATTGGTTAAACAGACAAGGGTGTCTCTTATTAAACTACAAAAGACCAAATAAAACTTTAAAATCTATTGAAACGTCTTTGCATTAAATAAATAGAACGAAGATTATTGACTTATAGATGGAATTTTAGATAGAGAACTGTTTGTTTTATTAAATGGGGTTGTTCTAGGAAAAATATATTCGACAATTTGTGGTCAGAATTCACAGTTGTATTCCAAGTGTTTCATTTCACGCTACAGATACTTTTCTCTAGTTTTAAGATTTATGCAGTCGGAAAAATTTCAAAAAGTCTTAACATATTGTTGATAATATTTTAAGTGCTTGAATTATATATTTGGCATCTATAACTTGAGTATATGTAAATTATTCTAGAAATGGACTGATTCTCTCCTTCGTTGGAACGAAAGTGAATATGGAAATATTAAAACAGTTCGTATATTTCCATCACAGATTTGGACTCCTGACATTAAATTGTATAATTTGTAAGTAATGTAATTTCTATATAAAACAGTTGTTTTGCAAGTAAACTAATTGACATTTTGGTTTTTTCACATTCCTTACTGTAACGTTTAAGTAACTGATTGAATCCTTGTGATGGATCTTTACTAAATGAAATTAATGGTACAAATAGTATCATTGGCACAATAATATGTGCATGCTTATTTAAAGAGTTCATTAAAATGCTGAATCAATCTAAGTTAGATCACCATTGGAAAACTGGAAGCACTGAAGAGCCGTATAGAATTCCTCCTGTTTCAAGATTGACTTTTTGTGGGGTATTGAGCCTTTAATTTCTGAACTATTTTTAACCCAAATTGAATTAATAGAAAGTGTTAAGTTACATTTTTAAGTTACTGTGTAAAAATCAATTTAGTGGAAGTAAAAGTTGAATAAATCATCTTTACTACTACTCAGAGGGATATGTTTATTGTTGGTTTCATATAATGTTTAATTCCTCTAGCCTTGATAGAAACGAAAGCCCAACAATCCATCCAACCTGGATCGTTTATCCAAACAACCGCATTTAATTTTATTCGCTTTTCACACCATTAGTACACATAAACACACAAATCTTAGCTCTAATCTTTCATATTACAAATTTTACACTTTACATATTCATCAGCATATACACAAATTCACTCGGTGATTTCTCCCGCAGAATCACCTTGACTACATGACAATAATGATATAATCAGACATTCTTTGATATTGATTGATCTAAATGTTTTATTATATTCCTTCATGCTACTTAAAATTGTGTTAATTTAGTTTGGTTATCCATTTATTTCATAGAAGTGGATTACACTGAGTCATGATACGTGAGAAGGTCCAGGTCCTATGCTTCAGGACATTACGAATATTATCATTATTTTACTACTGATTGTGATAAATTTTATTTTACTCCATTTCATTAATAATACCTTAATGAATTTTGATATGATATTTTAAATCTTTATCTGTTAAGGTGTACAAATATAGGATATTCTATATTTCTTTCTAAAAGTAATTACTTATTACTGTTACGAGCTATGGAAACTATCTTCATTCGTGTAGATGAATCATGTTCGGATCATTCAGATATGTAATCTAATTATTTTTCGTTTGAATTCCATAAATAAATTGCTGAGATGTACATAATGTGTATACGAATGGATCTCTTTATCTATAGTATTGGACTTATTTAAATTCTAGATAATGATTGCAGTGTTAGACATGACTTTACTGGTCTTCAACTAATTTTTATAATAAACGTTTCTTTTCAACACTTATTCTTTTTTAATATCAGATAATTATTTTAGCCAGGTGAATACTGGTTAATTTGTTAATAAGTCGAGAATTCATTGAGAAATACGTGATTTCAATATACTGTCTTAGAGTTTACTCAGATAAGTAATTTATATGCATATGTATTTCTTACTTCTCAATTGAGATAGCTACTCTGTGTTTATTAGTGCTGGACTCAATGTAATTCCTAAAATAATTTTCATTCACGAATCGATTGAGATTAGAAATAGAAATATTTGGATAACAATACAACCGTCTAAAAGTTAAAAGGTCGACATGAGACACGTAGATCTACGGTTTGATTCCTGGTGGCGAGGTCGTGTATACCCACCGCCTAATTATCTCATACTAGGACGAAACAGATAACCAGTGATTCCTGGTTTTCACTATTTGACTAACTAAGATTTGAATATGATGAAAACAATTAAATTTATACGAGATTTCAAGCTAGTTATATAGTACTTTGAATAAGCTCTTTTCATTACGATTAATTATCGTTAACGAAGTGTAAAGATTTTGTTTGAGTTTGAACTTGAAATGCGGCATAATGTTTTAGCTTATGCTAAGTGAAATCAATGAAAATACACTAGCGCAGATTCATACTTATCAAGCCTTATATATTGATCTGTGATTTTTTTAGTGCTGATGAACGTTTACGCGAATATAGAGACGCTCGTGTTGTGGTCTCAAGTAATGGAGAAACACTATGGCTTCCACAAGCATTATTTAAAAGTACATGTGAAGTTGAGATCACATATTTCCCATTTGACACACAGGTTAGTTATTTCCTAATTCACCCAGTAATTTTTTTGTTGTTAATCCTCTCACATTGTTACTATAAGTACTTAAGGAATTACATCGATTGGTGTTTGAGTACTGAGTGACCAAGGACACATATGTCCAATTTTGTTCAAATTCTATCACGTTATGTTCAACGATACTAATCTGAGTCAATCAACATCATATGCACGAAGCTTTGATGTAAAGTAATTGGAGGTAGACTGTAAGGAACCCTGGGTATAGGTTTATTATTAGTTGGGACTTGTCGGAAAATCTCACTTATAATCACCAGAGAATTGATGCTTCCCGTGGGGTTTTAACCCGTGCCACAAAGTTCCACAGTTTGAGATTTCCTGATGGTCAATACGAATCACTACATATCAATTATTGGTATTCCTTTGAACAATAAGCATTGATTTTTTGATGATACATTGAGAGTCCCAGGTAGATACCATCCATGTATTCCGTTTTCATAATTTGCAGTATTAGTTCCGTGATTAAATTAAAAAAATAACATATGGAGTTTATAGACATTGATTTTTTTACAGACAAAATAAACTATGATACATCATTTCTACCACGTAACTATTATTGGTATGTAGAATCTATTTATTTGTTAATGAATTTACTCCCATTACCAAGTTTGAATGGTTTAAAAATTAAAAGGTTGTTTGTTTGTGAATCTACATCAACATTATTGAGTACGAGAAAGCATTTGACAGCGTGAACAGGACAATATGGAGGCTTCTTCAACACTACGGCGTGCCTGGGAATATAGTCAATATCATACAGAATTCCTATGATGGATTAAACTGCAAAATCGTGCATGGAGGACAGTTGACAAAGTCGTTCGAAGTAAAGACCGGTGTCAGACAAGATTGCTTACTCTCAACCTTTCCCTTTCTCCTGGTGATCGACTGGATCATGAAGATGTTAACATCTAGGAGGAAGCATGGGATACAGTGGACAGCTAGAATGCAGCTGGACGACCTGGACCTCACAGATGATTTGGCTCTTCTATCGCACATGCAACAGCAAATGTAGGTCTCAGCATACACAAAGGGAAAAGCAAGATTCTCCGACACAACACAGCATGCAACAATCGAATCATACTTGACGGAGAAGATTTGGAAGATGTAAAAACCTTTACATATCTGGGCAGCATCATTGATGAACACGGTGGATCTGATGCAGATGTGAAGACGCGGATCTGAAAAGCAAGAACAGTATATTTACAACTGGAGAACATCTGGAACTCATAACAACTCTCTGTCAACGGCCAACACCAAAGTCAGAATTTTCAATACAAATGTCGTAATAGTTCTACTGTATAGGGCAGAAACCTGGAGAACTACGAAAGTCATCATCCAGAAGAACAAGTGTTTATCAACAGATGTCTACGCGAAATACTTCGGATCCATTGGCCAGACGCCATCAGCAACAACACATCGTGGGAGAGAACAAACCAGATCTCAGCGGAGGAAGAAACCAGGAAAAAGCGCTGCAAGTGGAGAGGACACATATTGAGAACACCCAACCGCATCACAGGGCAAGCCCTCACATGGAACCTTCAAGGCCAAAAGAAAGGAGAAAGACTGAAGAACACATTACGCCGAGAAATGGAGACAGACATGAGAAGCATGAACAACAACTGGATAGAACTGGAAAGGAAGGTCCAGGCCAGAGTGTGTTGGAGAATGCTGGTCGGCGACCTATGCTCCATTAGGAGTAACAGGCGTAAGTAAGTAAGTAACTTGTTTGTGAGAGAAAACAACTATTTTTTCGAAAACATCACCCTGATCGATTAGATTTGTGAATCATATCATTAACAAGTTAATCGAAACTTCGAAAGCGTCATCATGAATATTGATTGTTTACTATTCATCAAAGAAAATTTAAGATAGTACTCTTAATATAATCAATGCAAGATTTTGACGACTACTTCCCTCTGAGAAGAAAGGATATCCAACACAAACTTGTACTTGAATTTTTTAACATTAACAGAATAACTAACCTCAGAAATGAAGAGTCTCATTTTTGCGACAAAGTTAGTTAACACTGATTCATTTCTCATTTACACTAGTAACCTCACAAGAAAGTAATAAAGATGAATCTAATAAGGATAACTTTAATTCTTTGATTTAATTGTCAAGTAAAACAGAAACTTAAATAAAGTGAGGCTTGACTACTCGTTTCAAAATTATTATTCCGAATAGGCCAACAAAGGTCAAACAGTCACATGAACTTAGACAATCACATGAAGAGGGAGATGTTTATTATTTTCTGTACATTACGAAGGTCCAAATTCCTTTATCTTGTTTGATCCTTTCTTCCCAGATCTAACATTCTGTTAAAAGTTTGGAATAATATTGGTTATACTCATTTGAACGTTATAAATATGCTGTTTATTAATTTCTAATTTTATTGCTTTGCCACAATAAATCTTTTATTCCAATCAATTTAAATAATATTTTAATTGAAAAATAATAGAGTAGATCTTTTTAATGATTTTAAAATGGGTTATTGTCATGTACAGGAAATTCATTTATTTAGTTAGTTAAAACTTGTCTTTCATTAAATCACATCAAACTTCATTCTGACAATGAGTCAGTTGAAATGAGTATTTGATAAAAAGCAGTTTCTTTGGGATCTCATTAAATATCATTTGTCATTGTACATTAGGATTTTCATTCATAATAATTTAAGTTTAAATGAAGTCATGATACTCCGGGTCACATAATGTCTTTTGCATTAGTCAACAAATTAGGCATTTCTTAATTGTAGACGAATGGATACTAACCTGATCAGAATTCAGTCTTCAATATAACTAATGAGAAATCACTATCTCTTATGAATCATTATAGAAATCACTCTTGTTTGAAGTGAAATACAAACTGAAGGAGTTTTAAGAAACTTAGAGGGACATCTTCAAACTTATTTTAAACGTATAAGGATAACTTTGATTTTGTTTGGAAAGAATATTTCATACATTTGATTAAATAAATTTTATCTGAGATATCTTTCTAATTAATAATAGTTTCTGATCAATAAAATGAGATATAAAATAATAATAAAAGAATAACACAAAATAATTTCTTTTTATCAGGTTTATGCTGAAGTGATAAATTCTTATCTGTGGTCATCGTTAAGTTATTCATCTCGATACATATCGTGGTTAAATAGTCACTCTATTGGCTTCCTAAATCTAAACTTCAAGCTAGTCATTACGATATTGATTCATGTGTGAGTGAGGGCACTTGGGAATTCATATTTGGATATTATTATGTTTTTACCTTGGTCCGATGACTTTCAATAACTGCTGGTTAATTCATGTCGGAGCAAATACGAAAAAGAAGTTTGTCATAACTGAATTTTTATATTTCCTGATCAATGTGAGCTTAGAAGATAATTAAGTAATTAATAACAAGTTAAAATATGGAATAGTACCAAAATATGACTAGGTTAGCACGTGTAGCGAGATATCATTGATATGTGGTTACGATAATTTTATTCGATTATTTATTGTCACATTAAAAATATTAACGTTTATTTATTTAAACAATAATTCTTTCCTATTAACATAGATATGCATGTTAGAATTTGGATCCCTAACGTATGATAGAACTCAAATGGACATATTATGGTGGATTCCAGATTCACCTCCCATAGAAGAAATGCCATATTTAGACTTCTCAGATTACGTACCAAGTAATGAATGGCGTACGGATGGCGAGAAAGAACGTGAAGTACACCATGTCAACCGTACTATACAAATTCGATCGGTTAAGAAACATCGACGTCGAAGTCAAACTGTAGGTAACGAAGTCATCACAAGAGAATATCCAGTTTTACGATATTTAATACGTTTGAGAAGGAACCCGAGTTTTTATGTATTCATGTTAGTGATTCCATGTGTATTGTTATCATCCTTAACATTGGTTGTATTTTGGTTGCCTCCAGAATCTCCAGCGAAAATGATGCTTGGTAAGTGCACTTAATTACATGCATATAATTTCCTAAAAGAATGAACACATTAATATAATTCATTAATGAAACAAGATTTCCTTTAAAATGGTGATTCAGTTGTCAGGAGTAACTGTACTTACAAATTTGAGTTCACGGCCAATTTAATGATGGTTACAATTACTGACTGTAAGTTGGTCAGCTTTTAAAAAGCAACAGTAATAAATGTCGGTCGGAATGTAAATGACCCGTAACCTTGCATATATATATATATAGAATCTGAACATTTATTTTGTAAGCTATTCATGAATATGTTTACTTCAATAGGTGTAGCTTGAGCTGGGTTACAAGATGTTATTATTACTCACTGAATGATAATGAAGTTGAATGTGAAGATACACGTCATATCAAATTAATTTTATTTAAGTGTCATATGCTTTTTCAGATCATTTTTGAGAAAAATACTGTGTACACGATTCACAGTTTTTGATTATGTACACAGTAGTTAAATAAAAAAATGTGTCACTTTTAAGACTACCCGATAACATTTAGGACCTTCAACATTTTTTACCAATTGGTAGATAATTACCGGTCGAAACTGCAGTAATACGGTTATTCTGTAGCGTTGCATTGCAAAATAATCAACTTTGAAACAGACAGCCTCTCCTATTAAAAAAACATACAGATGACCTATGCAAACTTTTTTGAACAATCTCCTCCTTTATCTACTCCAACCTTCGAAAAAGACTTCGTCAAAAGAACATCGATATTCACTTTGTCTGAACGCGTCTATTTTCCTTGAGTAGCAGTTTACAATCATTTCATTAAGCGTTGAGGAATGATCAGTGTTATTACTTTTGCAACAGGATTTCTAATTCTAAATAGTTCTTATCTGAGATGCTTCTTCGGATAAACCAAAATGAGTCATATATGAAAATTAACAAATTGTTAGAAAATGTAACCGAGAAAATGTTTAGCTTTCATTAGATTTCAGCTTTAATCTTTATATTTATAAACGATTTACAAATTATTTCTAAATACAAGTAAAATAGTCCTGTTCATAAAAATGTAAAAACTAACTAATTAGCCAATATCTATGGTTACAAATCTATATACCGCTATTTCAAATCCCTTAAGGATTATTTACCTATGGATATTCACTCAGAAGCTGAAAAACAGCATCTCAGAATCTTTAGTTTTATCCAAGTTATGTGGCTAATGAAGCGATTAAATATTAACTTTCACATGTCAACTCAAATTGCAAATCAAATAAAAATGTGGTTAATAAGCTCTAGATGTTTTATTCATTAAGTGTAATGTACACCAACAATTTTAACTGAAATATTTCATATTTTTCTATATTTTCTGTAGTTTATTGGTACAGAAGGTATGCTAATAATAACATTACCTTATTAAAGCTAATTATCGAAGAAATAATTAATTTAGCATCATAAAACTTCATGATTGAAGGTGATCAAATGATAATACTTTCAGAAAATGAAATGATTTAAGTATTTTTTTACATTAGTAGATTGGCTATCATAATTATAATCCAGAAATAGATCACTATTTTTAGAAAATTATTGGATTTATTAAACAAAATAGTCAAATAAATATGAGCACCATATGTTCACACTGAGCACAAAATTATTGATTACATCGAGATTTGTATATATTCAAAACATTGATGTAGTTCAGAAGACTTTCTCTACTGTCTGTCATATTTAAAGTGATTTTCACTTAAGCAAAATAAGTGAATGAATGCATATGTATGAGAAATGATCTTAGTATTATATGTTACACCTGAACTAAGTTGATGTTTTTTGAGAACAGTAAGATGATTATGTTCTAGTTACATATTTAAAAGTCTTATAAGTGATAAATAGTGTGTTGGGAATAGTGTCCACTGCTTATAGATAACAACTTTGTTATTCATCAAAGTCTAAGAGTAAGAACAACCAAAGTCGGACTGTAAAAGTGAATTAATGAAGAACAAAAAAAGTTCATTCAGAAAAGTTGGGAAGAAACGCACACGGAATAAATTATAAAAGCTTAGATCTCAAATCAGTTTGAAATTACAAAGCAAATTTAGATAAACAAATATTTTTGGTTGATAAGAAAATCGTTATTTGTTTATATGTTTTAAAGCCAACTTTCAAAAAAACTATTGTCGAAAACAAAACCGTATAAGGAAATACAACGGTTTCTAAGAGTAACTAAACACTATCAATTTCATCCGCAAAAATGAGTTCAAAATTTATGTATATATTCACATCGATCAAACTTGTTTTAAATTAACACTGAAAATCTCTATTGATAATTCACAATCATTTGATTGATTCAATTAACTTAGAGAATCTGACATCACTAAAAATATCTATGTAGGCTGCAAAAGTTTTTTTCCAAACTTTAGAATTGAATTACATTCAAGAATTTGTAAAACCATTTCCATTGATGATAAGTATATATCAACTATTGAGTGTTTTGTAGGATATAACCTAAAAAATGTACCTAAATACCCTTCACATACCTCACATCCTAGATTAATTGATTTTTGTATACCCTTAAAGCATCTAGGTTTTAATTCATTTTTAGCATTAATAATCTATGTTTAATATGGTAAATATTTCTTTAGTACATTTAGTATTCATATTGTTTATAAATGTTGTGATATTTAGTTTTAAAAATTCCATCTGAGTTTTTCATCATAATGAATACGAGGACATTGTCTTGTCTACACAGTAAAGTAAATGTTTACGAGAACCCAAAAATGTAGGATTAATACAGAAACATTTAAATAAATGATATTAAACTTTGAAAAAACCGTGATCTAGTAAACATATTTTAATTAGAGAAATCTAAATTTTAGTTCAAGCATTGCTTACATGTAATAACAAGTTAGCTATCTTGACATATGATTAGAATGGAACTAAATTAAATTCAGGAACCTAAAAATGTAATTTGACAATAATTTACTACTATTACGATAAAGAAAAAGCATAATGGTAGATGATATATGGAAGTCGGTGAGTAGCCTATGAGACAGATGTGTATCATTCAGGGTTCAAAAAAATTGAATACATATTTTTTAAGGAATTCGAAATAGTAACCTTTGGATTGGTAATCCGAGATACTATACTGAATTACCTAGATAAACTAAAATACATGCATTCAGTAGGTTGCCTATAACATAATCTATGAAAAACAAGCCTTGTATTAGTGCTTTACTGATCCCTATAGAAAATAAAATCACTACTGAGCAAACTTTAGGTATTTAATTTTCGAAATTTAACTTAATATACCAGTCTTTTCTTAAAAATCTTTTCTATTTGAATCAAAATTTTGTTGTTTAGAGCAGCCTTTCAAAATAACATTTCGTGCTACCATAACCAATTCAGTAACTTTAAAAATAATCTGCGTTTATTTTAACTTAAAGTGCTTTCGTTTATTGAGATCCTCAAAGTTTTTATCCATTTTCCTTTGCAAATTATAAATGCAAATAAATGATAATATTACTGAGTAAAAGTTTGGCCGGTGTTTGATTTAAGATAATGACTATTTGTTTATTATATGGTGTAAAAAATATGCTCTCAAAAAGTGTACCATTAATTTCATTTTTGATCATTTATTTATAAATATATAGGAGTGTCATTTCAGAACGTTTTGGGGATTGCGAATAACGAGAACATTATTCAAGGACTGTCATACTAAAATATTTAAAAGTTATTTTTCAATTAATACTGGGTTTTAAGTTAAAGCGATCATCCATTTACATTATTTACGTTGATGATGTTTAAAAGTTACTAGGAAAATATGTGTACAGATTTTTTAAGACGTTAAACGGACCGAAAATGTAGAAGACTAAACGATCGGACAGAAATGAATAGCTGTTTTACTAAACACAGGACATTCGGCCACCGTCAAAAGCACGTTAAATTTCAACCATTTAGTAGATACCTAACGGTCTCCGTTCTCAACTTCAACGACTTCATGATGCAGCCCGAATGTTATCCATTCCTATCAGTAACAACTTTATCCATCCCATCATATCAGAAACATGTCAGTTACAACATCGGGAACTCATCTTTTAGCCAGTCACTAGTGGGTGGAAATATATAACTAGGATATGACAACTGAATATCTTGGCTAAGGGTATACTATTCAATCGAAAGTTTATTTAATGTAATTCAAAAACCTGGTAAAAGTTAGTCTATGAAAGTTTATTTATACTGCTAAGTATACCTGAGATAATATATATCAACAGTCTTACAACAGAGGTTTGCTTATAAGAAGCTATGCACATTCCGAAACTTTACTCTAATCATAGCAATACTTTGTGTTTTGCAATTTTATGTTCAGTTTGATCAATAAGTGATCACAAAGCGATAGATTTTTGACACTTTTAGTTTAAATTACTCTCTAAAGTTTTCATTAAAAGAAATTTTTTTAAAATTTATTACAGGCAATAAAGTTGTTTGTTGTTGCATGGTGTATATAAACAGCTTAACAGGTGTTTTAAACATATTAACAAGAAGAGAATTTTCATTTAACTTTATATCATTATTTTACAATTTAATGTTATTCATAAATATTGAACAGTTACTTAGTCTTTTCATTATTATTTTCATGACCAAAACTAGACGTTAATTTAGGTAGGTTTCTATAGCTTTTTCTCAAAAAAGAAAACACTAAGAACGATGCATCTCTTTATGAATGATGTACATATCTCCATATCATGTATTTACATGACTATCTATTAATTATTTAAATTAAATGTAATAAGGTTTCCTATGGATACTGGACTTCTTCAATGAAACATTAGTTTACCTTTTTTAGCTTCTAATGCCTAAAGCCTAGCTGTTTTCCTGATTCAAAATAATTCACAAACATTTTATTTTTGTACCTCAAAAAGCATCTATTTAAATGAATGTCAAAAGTTTCCACCTAGTCCTAAGATCTATTTTTACGTGAAAAAATAATGAAATTTAGTTTGATGGTAATTCATGTGGGGGATATGCATCGAATCCAATAATTCTGAACAATTAAGAAACTAAATGTCCTTTTATGAGCATATTTTATTCATAGTTCAAAAATCATAAATGTCACAAGATATAGTTGTTTGTGTATGGTGGTAATGAAATGAAGTTTCTTAGACTGACGAGTAATTCATGGGTGGAAACAGACACAACTGCTCTAGATGTTTTAAATACTTTAGATTATAAGATTTCGTTGTACATGTCACTGTTACTTTAAATAAAGGGTTAATAAATTTAACATCTGTTTGAGAAATACGGTTGATATGAAACCATGAAATTAGTTCATGTTATTTTGTTATATTTATTGTTCTTCTTTTAGTCAGATTTATCAATAGGAGAAATTATATGAAATTAAATAGTACAATTTGACCATTTTTCGATACTACTTATGTAAACAATGTTCAAAACACAATATAGATAATTATCAGAAGGGGTTTTGTGGAGATTGTAGTAATTTTAATGGTTAAGATCATGAGTCAGTTGAAGCTAGACCACCATGGAAAACCTGGAAGCACTGGACATTAACATTAACACCGTTGGATGCCGGCTCAGTGGTCTAGTAGTTAAGTGCTCGCGTGCGAAACCAGTAGGTCCTGGGTCTGAATCTCGCAGGGGGCGAGGTTGTGGTTGCGCACTGCTGAGGAGTCCCATAATAGAACGAAACGGCCGTCCAGTGCTTCCAGGTTTTCCATGGTGGTCTAGCTTCAACTGACTCATGATCCTAACCATTGAAACAATATAGATAAGTTTGTTGTGAGTTAGCAAAAGGAAAAACAATTTTTTTTAGTGTGAGGATAACTTATAAGTGTAACATTCATCTGGCTTTTAGTTCAGGTATATAATACGAAGCTAAAATGCTGATTACTGATTTTCATAAATGTGTTTTAAAACTAAACAGTGTTTTATATACAGATATTATAGTGTGAATGGAGCTTGTGGTTGTTCTTAGTAGAGCTTTCAACATGCCAGTATTCAATTAAAAAAAGAATAAAATGTGACCTTAACGTAAAAATAATATCCCTATAAAAAAGGATGTTGGATAAGATTAAATGTGAGTTATTTCAGCCATCTGGTGAACGAAAAGAATAAAAAATCAGTTCATGTTTGTTTAATCATTGCAGTGAACTTTATTGACCTTCGTGTCGCTTTAGGCTGTTCATGCAATGTTGATCTATAATGAAAATTATTTTTGCTTTGCTAGTGTTCTTGCAAACTATTCAAACGTAGAAAACATTTTCAATACCTATCAGTGATTACAAGAGTGCTCTTTCAATGTGTTGTACTAAGGACATAACTTATGAGACCATTCGTGTTGTGAATGATTTCTTTGAATGATGATCTTGTTAGATATTAAACTGGGTGAAACTAAAAAAACAGTAATGCTTGGCAATACACTTGATTTTCAGTTTGATCTTGGGTAGGGGATGTGATAAAGCACTACTAAATAAAGTGGAATGATTTTTATGAAGTTTTACCAATTTATTTTTCATGTTAAATGATTAATTTCTTTATAGGTATGAATATATTTGTGGCATTTTTTGTCTTATTATTACTACTTGCTGAGTCTACACCAAGTGCTGTGAAAAATTTCCCATTGATCGGTAAGTAATTTCAATAAAACAACGAAATATTTGATTCGTTCTACTAATATTCGTTTGCTTTTACTTTTTATACCTCATTGAAGTTATAAAGTTAAATAATTCTGCTTAGTGGACTTAAATTCACTGTATCATTTAGTAGTATATCTTCATTATTTTAAAAAACTTGAACTCTCAATTTGTTACCATAATTTAAATCAATATTGTTCAGTGATAGATGAAAAGGAACAACAATCAATTTCAATTATTGAAAGTCTAGGCGATTTTGTAATTGTTAACATATAGTGACTTAGAAATTGGCTATAATCAAGTTTAATTTGGCTTATTATAGTTTCTTAAATATTTCTTAACTGGTTTGTATATTAAATAGATCTATGCGTTTAATATATAATTCCATATTGTTATTATTGAAGTAATACTTACTAATTTGAGATATTAATAGAATCATTATCTTCTTTATAGTTTAATGAGATATTAAATATTCATAATGTACAATATGTTTATTGTTGAACGGTTTAAAATGAAAAGGATTATATTTTGTTATAATTTAACTGATATATTTGTATGCAATTAACTTCATCTAGATAAAGTCAATTTAAATTAAACAGTATGTTTAACCAAGACAAATGAAGAAAAACAACTTCAAGATTTTTTTTAGAATATCCTATACTAATCCCATTTTTTATTCGTTATTTAAGTTTAATTTGTTTAATCTGTTTGGCAGTTTTTTGGCAAGATTTTTTTTCTACGGGATAGGGTTGACGACCCTATGCTCAACCCTCCTCCTTTACCTGGGCTTGGGATTGGCAGTAACTCTAGAAGAGCTATAGATGGAGTTCGTTATTTAAGTAGTAAACTTAAATAATTTTGATATTTTTTGAGAAAATATTTTGATATTTTACTTGAAAATAAAATAATGATTGAATTTAGATTCAGAAAACTGATATCAATCAAATAATCTATAATGATATCATTTTTCTTAGAATTAGTTCTACCAATCTGTAGTCATTGAAACAAACTGTCTAAACGAATAACTGGAACTATTATAATATATACACTTTTAAACATCGAGAGATATTGAAAAATCTGTGATTGAATTAGAATTATTACATAAATTTTATGTTCTTTATCTTATTCCATTGTAGGTGTATTTTTCTGTTTAAATATGATCATGATCACTTTATCAACATTTTTAGCCACCATGGTAATCCATCTTTATTTTCGTGGTGATCGTAAAGGTGCAGTACCATATTTTCTACGTCGAGTAAGTGATGTTTCATATATCTATGACTTAATGCATCATTCATTCAAAAATGACATTAAATGGTATATATATTTCAGTAAAATAAAACCAATCTGATTAACATGTAAACTTATATTCTACATTTTATTCAATTTTTCAGTTGAATATTCTCATTGTTTTTTGTCCCATATGTATTCAATACAGAAAATGAATCAGAAAACCAGTTAATAACAACAATGTTTACCAATCGATCAATATAAAGATACTTTGCATCACGAGTTGAAGTTAGTTATACGCTAGAAAGCTATTAGTTTCCTAACAAAGTTTCATCCCAGTACTGCTAGGCTAAGCGGGAAGCATGTTACTATTGATTCATTAGGCAAAATACAATGGTCAATATTTCCCACTTGTCAATTAATAAAATAGCTCAAATATATAGGCGATAAATGTCTCTCTCTTGTCATTGCTGAACTTGATTATTCAAGGACTCTTATTAGAACTCCAAGAACTTCAAAATTTTGTTTCCAATGCTCACTTAATATTTATAAGTAAGAAAGACTTGCTGAAACTGTTCACCTCGCAGTGAAAGTAAAATCGATAATTATTTTAGATATCCATATTAATAAATAAACAACTCAAAGATAATTTACGTACTATTTACAATTAAATATGGATTAAGCAAAGTATGATATAATAAGAACATTAGCCCAGTTTCCAATGAATAATTTCACAGGATTTCACACGATCAGATCCTTCAATAAATTTAGACAGAGCAAGAACAGCAAGGTTTGAAGAATAAAATGTATTTTAGACTGAATGAAGCTGATGAGAATTTGTTATAGAATGGATTCATTTCATTCTACAAACCTTGTAATTTTCGCTGTTTAAGTTTTATAATATTTAGGCTTTGGATGTTTAAGGAAGATATTAAAAAGAACATGATATAAAAATATGAGCGAATGAAATAAACTAAGTTTCATGCAACTAGTTCCCTTCATGAATTTGCATCAAGCTTTATTTAAACTAAGTTTATTTATTCATTTTTAGATTATAATAGAAGGGATTGGGAGACTAACATTAGTAAGACAAAGAATCCCATTACCAGATATAAAGAATTCAAAAAGGAATGTTTTCGCAAAATATCACAGAAAGACTCTTATCTCCCAAATATCTCCTGCTAAAACCAAACACGCTTGTCAAAACAGATGTAAAAACGAACAAAACAGATATTTTGGGGGTGGATTTTTCCCGCAATGTAATGAATCAGTCAATCAACCCGCTTGTGGAGATCAATATTTGGAAAATATCACCACTAACTGGTCTGGTTCATCTGAATTTCAAACACTTAAAGAATATTCTGGGGAATCCTGTCCACATATGATGAGAACGTCAATCAAAGTTAATCATCAAATACCGGAAATTTTACAGCAAATTATGCATAATGATAATAATATGAATAATTATCCATTCAGAATGATAAACTATGATGAATCAGAAAGTTTTAATTCAACCACTACACTTGAACGTGATGTTAGAGAACTGAAAAAATATGTTAAAATGGTAGTTAATCGACAGAAAGAAACAACCCATAAAAGTTTAATAGCTATGGAATGGCGTACTTTAGCAATTGTTTTAGATCGTTTATTTTTCTTCATATATATTACTACAATCCTCATTGCGGTTGTTGTTTCAGTACCAAATAACATCGAACTAGAAATACCAGAAGAATTTCAAGATTCAGAAGAACGAGTAAAAACCTGATGAGTTCTTTTTTGAGGAATATACATTATTTGGTAATTCATTTCATCATTAAATTGTGATTTTTTGAAAAGAATACAGGAAAACACTATCGTTACGTTTTCTCCCGTTATTTGACTTATTAAATAATACATGATAGTTAAATTCCTGACAATCAACCAATATGCTACAATTCAATGTTGAACTATTTGGAAGAGAAAGCCCCTTTTTCAAATGACATTCGATCTCAATAAAGCAATTCTATTTATTCAGTATATATATTTAAAATTATCATTTTTCCATCAATTACATTAAATTGACTTACTTTCTTTTTCCCAATTGAATTGAAGAATTCCTACAACGCAGACATTTTTATTCCTGATAAGCACTTTTATAATGATTTATTTTTCTTTAAAATGCTAAGAATTACATGTGCTTTTATTATAAAAAATAGACATTTTTATTCTTAAAACTACTTACAACAATATGGATTTATCGATTGTAGGAATTACGTAAACACCTAAAATGTAGTTCCGTTTTTTACAAATGGCGATTATCTAATTGGAGTGTTTCGGGGATGTTTAGAATTGACTTGTGTGAGTGAATAAAGAGGAATCAAGTGGATTCCCATCCTCTAGAGTCCTGAGCTGAATAAAACTTCGAAATTTTAGATCTCGAGACGATTTCTTCCGACTAACATTTCACCACCGACTCCATCTACTAACACCAGTAAGCGGTTCCAACCGAAACATTATGTATAATTGTTCCTGAACAGATCTCCTTGTAAGCAAGCTTATTATTGCTTCTATAAAGATGTTTATCTATAGGCTATTTTTTATTTCTTCTGCTATCAAATATATCAACTTAATGTCTTGTTCTTTTGAACCAAAACAAAATCCTTTGTGCATTAATATTCGACAAAATCTATCAACTATTGGGTGTAAAACATGGAAAATCATATTACGAAATATTAGCTTTTAGAGATTTATCGGTGAGTTTCCATTCACTCTTAAAATATGGCACCAATCATTTCATCAGTGATATCAACTATACATTCGAGAATATCGGAATTGGGCAACTACGACTTCACGAATCACCATAACACTTCATTGATGTCTTTTTAACAACTACAAAAGACACAATATCATTTCCTCCTCAAACAACGGATATTGGCGTGAAACATGTTAGAAGAGGAAGCTAATTAAGCATAATCGAATCACGTATGCTCAATTTCATTTCATATGAACTTTTTATCGCCCGAAATTCAACTCCAATTGGGTCGTATGATCGATTATCATCGAAATATACATCCTGGTTACTCTCATGTATAATCGTCGGCATCAGTGAATAACGAGATTAAATCAGTCAAATACGAAAATAAATCTCGAATACGTGTATTTCACACAATCGTTGATCTGGACAGACAATCAGGGAAAAGAAGAGAGCACAAAGAGAAATAACGCGCAATAGAGGCGAACGAGTCGATTCGATTTAATCAAGCGTGACTCAGTCAGACAAAAATACGTTACAGACATGTAACGAATAGAGTAGGTGATACTGTAGGAAACAATTTCCTACAGGTTAACTAAGCTATTCTCTAAACTGTCGAATACAGAGTCTTGCTTTAGCCAAAGTCAGAACAAGTAAGCTATTTGGCCTGATAAACTTTATCTGTTTCTAAAACATAAATTACACAGCGTTAGTATCAAAATAAACAGTACAGTCTATTAACGTAGGGAAAACAGAGACATGATTAACATACCGAACAGTAATCAGAGAATAGGAAAAATGAGTCAGCAAAGCGAATATTGTTTCATAATAAACATAAAATTATGATTGGTGGATAAAAATAAAAAAAGGTATAGTCATACAAGGTCAAAGAAAGTTAACGTGGTGGTGGGCGTTTCACCTTATCATTGGTGTGTTCATTTATCGATCACATTTTACACTCCCCCCGAAACGCGCACCACGTCCATTGTTCTGGGTCGTCGTCGCCGTTAGATAGCCGGCTTTTTCCAGTAGACATAAGCTTCGTACGTCTCGAACAATTTCTTCGTTTGCGGTTCTCAACTTCGCCGTACGAACTCGACCGTCAGAACCATAGCTTACTTGTTCAACAATAGCTTTAGGCCATAGACCTCGACTCGTTTCGACGCTACTAACAAGAACTGGGCCACCCGGTTGTAAGTTTTTGTGTACGTTCAACCATTTGTCTCTTGTTTGGAGAGTCGGTAAATATTCTCTCATCCATCTATCCCAGAATGCGGTAGCTAATCTTTGAGCTTCTTTCCATCTTTTATTATATAATAACGTCTTATCAACCGAAGCACCGTCAAATGATAATCCTTTATAAATCAACAACTTATTCCAAGTAAGAGCCTCTAGGATACCGGGATCGTCTGTCATTTTAACTAGAGGTCTATTATTTAGTATCCTTCCTGCCTCGGTCAAGAACGTTTGTAGAGCTCCATCGATCAACACGTTTTGAAATAAAGGCACTCTTGGAATTCTTCTAATTGATCTTATGATGTGTTCCCGCACACCACAACCTCTCTCAAAAAGGACATTTGCTATCTTATTCTGATTGCAACTACACTTGATCTGTCTGAGAATAGTATTGGTTCCTGTAAAGCTACCAGATGAACCCTTAGTCTTATTCACAACTCGTACAAGAGCGCCTTTCTCGACACCATCCTCGATACCACGGCGAATATGTGCTGTATGCTTCTTCAGAGTCTTAGTTACTGGTTTCTTTGTTACAGTGGCCTTCGGTCTTTTTGTAGTCTTGACTTTCAGTTTGGTGTACGTCTCTTCCTTAGGCTTTCCTAGAGTTGATTCGGGTTTATTAGCACATAGTGCTTCACTTTTTGGCTTAAAAACCTTGTACTTGGTTAATAAAAAGGAGCAATGAACTTGACGAGAGACATTTTCGGAACGAGCATACTCCGCAACACCACATGCAGATTCTGAGGCATCGGTGGAGCAATGAGTCTGACTAGCCAGTGGTTTGTACGATTCTGGTGACGCTATGCGATCTTCCACAGATATCGATGAAGTACGACTAAATGGGTCTTTGAATTCAGTTGAATGCAATTGTTCAAACTTATCTTCTAATTCCTCCTTAGCCGAGAGGTAGTTCGGTACACAGTTGCTTGCACGGGGTTCTCTGTAAGGGCCGAACAGCGTCCAACCCAATATAGTCCTCACAGCAGACGGTTCATTCGTCTTTCCGGTTCTTATCTCTTTCATCTCATGTATGCCCGGTGCATTGCACCCAATCAACAGTTTGACGTTCTCATCTTCTACTCTCGGAAAACTTATGTCTTTTAGATGGGGCCAGGATGCCATTTGATGCGCCGTTGGTACAGTCCTGTAAACTGCCGGCAATTTGTTGACTGTCAATACTTTCTGGACCTTAACGAATGAAGAAAAATCCATCGAGTGCAACTCTATATCGACTTCTTTGGATACCAACGACGATTCATCACTAAGAGTCTTTAAAGATACCGTTTTCGGTTTCCCTTCGAGGCCTAACTTATCAGCTAGATCACCAACTATGAGGGAGGTGTCTGACCCGCTATCTAGAAAGGCGCAAGTCTGAATAATCTTCTCACCATTTTTTATCCACACAGGCACTACTGCAAATGCTACTAGTCTCTGTATACACTTAACGCCTTCCTCCGTACAAAGCTGAGTATTAATGTAGGCATCACCATTAGTATTTCTTTGTTCTTCCCGCTTCTCGTGTAACAGAGTATGGTGTCTCCAGCCGCACCCTTCAACATCACACGACTTCGGTGATCGACAATTTTTCGCTACGTGGTTTGCCTTCAGACAAACATAACATAACTTGTGTCTAAGGACGAATTCTTTCCTTTCTCTAACATTCTTGTCTTTAAACTTTTGACATTGATCTAAAGAATGATTACTTGAGCACTCCAAACAGGACAAACTACGTAAGGCAACATTGTCATCACTAGTACTCGCGTAAGATATCCTTGCTGCATTGTAATCTCCGCTAATTCTCCCTTTTAAAACACCAACATCTCTATTGTCACTATTACTACCGCGATTGACAAGTAGGCCGTATCTAGTATTAGCTATATCAGCTTGTTCCTTTACAAACTCAACAAGATCGGCAAACACAGGCTCTCGACCTCCTCTGATAATCTTATAAGCTACCTTTAGCCACTCTTGTTGAATGTGCGTTGGTAATTTCAGAACCATAGTTTCGATAGTTCTAGAAGAGTTCAAATCAGAAACGTAATTCATCTGTTCGAGAGTCAAACCACATGCTTGCATTTCTCGAGACAGTCTTCTCAAACCATCTGGTTGATTCCTTCTTATAATGGGAAAGTTTAGCAAGTTGTCGATAAACGTGCGTGCTATAACGTGTTTTTGGCCAAACGTTTCCTCTAAAAGTTTTAGGGCTTGACGATAACCTATCTCTGGTTCTAGTATAGTACAATGAAGGATAGCGGCTTTCGCTTCTCCGTCGCAATATTGAATCAAGTAATTTAGCTTAGCTCTAAATCCAATACTCTCATTCCTAATGCATTCTTCGAAATTTCTAATGAAATTCCAATAATTTGTTGGTGTACCATCAAATCTTAAGACTTCTCTTTTTGGTAAATACAGGTTTTTTAATATTGTATTCTTACTGTTGCTTACTGATTGGCCAGAACCTTCACATCCCTGGCGACGTAACTTTTCTAGTTCAATTTCCTTTTCTAACTGGGTTATGCGTAACCTAGCTAACTCTAGTTCTATCATACTATTGTCTTTGGGTTCGTTCTTTTCAAGTTGATCCTCGTCATAAACTCCCAAATGATGGGGTGATAACTCTGGAATCTCATCGGAATCGTAGTATTTAATGGTCATTTCAGTAGGTATATTGAAAATTACTGTTCGAAACTTTGTAGGAAACAATTTCCTACAGGTTAACTAAGCTATTCTCTAAACTGTCGAATACAGAGTCTTGCTTTAGCCAAAGTCAGAACAAGTAAGCTATTTGGCCTGATAAACTTTATCTGTTTCTAAAACATAAATTACACAGCGTTAGTATCAAAATAAACAGTACAGTCTATTAACGTAGGGAAAACAGAGACATGATTAACATACCGAACAGTAATCAGAGAATAGGAAAAATGAGTCAGCAAAGCGAATATTGTTTCATAATAAACATAAAATTATGATTGGTGGATAAAAATAAAAAAAGGTATAGTCATACAAGGTCAAAGAAAGTTAACGTGGTGGTGGGCGTTTCACCTTATCATTGGTGTGTTCATTTATCGATCACATTTTACAGATACTGCTGAGGATGGTAGGACCCCAGAAACCACTTGGTAAACGTCTTATTTCTGTAAGTTGAATTCCTCATTCCCGGAATTAAATAAGTCATATAACATGAATGGATTTTTGAATACATATATTTTGAATATGAAGCGAATGGACTAGAACGAAACAAAACGACGCGCAGTGGAGATGGCGGGTAAGCCAATTCCATTTAGTCAAGCGTTAATCAATATTTATAGTCACACAAAAATAAGTTACAGATATGTGGTGAATGGGATAACAAATGTACACATATATATACACTCATATAAAAACAGTGAAGATTGATAAGCGGGTAATTAACAAGGTCAAAATGACTCAATTAGAATGAATAGATTGGCCTGTCCGAAAGCCAGAATAAGGTATATGGGCTTAACACAACTGACACTACACTGGGACACATCGGAAGAGTTTGACTGTCTTGTCACTGAAACTTCGTTCCGTTCGTCAATTTTTAGGTAGTTTCGTAATCCCTTCGAACATAGTAAATACACGCACACACGATCACATAAAAACATTCAGGGTTAATAAGTGAACGATGAGCAAGGTCAAA